TGTGGAAAAAAAGCATGTGTAAATTATTCTTGTTGAAAAAGTATACGTAAAGTATTTTTGTGGAAAAAAGCATGTGTAAATTATTCTTGTTGAAAAAGTATACGTAAAGTATTTTTGTGGAAAAAAGCATGTGTAAATTATTCTTGTTGAAAAAAGTATACGTAAAGTATTATTGTGGAAAAAAGCATGCGTAAATTATTCTTGTGGAAAAAGTATACGTAAATAATTTTTGTGGAAAAAAACATATGTAAATTATTCTTGTGGAAAAAACATGAGTAAATTATTATTATTGTGGAAAAAGTATACGTAAAGTATTCTTGTGGAAATAAGCATGCGAAAATTATTCTTGTGGAAAAAAGAAAGTCGTAAAACATTTCATTTCGTTCATTTTGAACATTATTTTCACCAAACAAACAGATAAGTAACTGTAACTTAATAAGGTTTGAGTTTTCTATTAATATTATTTTAATTTGGCCATAAGTTCTTTACTTATTAATAAAGAAATAAATGTCTGAATTTATTTACTCGTTTACTTTATTATTGTTTAAAAATATGTCTAATATTTGTCTACTGAGAAAAAAAAACGTCGCCTTCAGTATCGTTAAAGATTTTGACGTATCTGAAACAAAACGTTACTTGTTTTTAAAAAAATCATTGTCTTACAACTTTTCAAATACAATAATCAGTACTTCCAACGTAAAGTCTTACAAGAAAATAAAATGACCAAAACTCATAATTTCGTAACTTCATCTCGTATAAACACACTATATAGATTCTGGTGTAACGGTTCACTGGTATGTCAACACTGAAATTCATGGTTCGATATCTCCTGCGATGGACAGAGTACATATAGCCTATTGTGTAGCTTTGCTGTATAATAAACAAAAAAAAACTGGTGTAACGTTAATTTTCAACAACTGAGCTCTTGTACGACCTTAACAAGACATAGCTTGCAACCTTCATGTAGCCAGGAAGTGGCAGAACACTCAGCTGTCATTCCAAATGTTTCTTCAGACATCCTCACCCAATGCTTCCTGCTCATATTTCATTTCACACACACAAAATAAGTTGGAAAGTACCCCGTATCTCAGAGTCTCGTATCGTTACCATTATTCACAGACAGGGGGACCGTTTATTTGAAAGAAAAATATAACCAGTTGCTTTTACTTGTCTGTAAAATCTGTTTTCACGAATCAAGGGAAGGTAAGTTCTGAATCACAACTAAACAAAGTTTGATAGGTCAAATGTTTCAAGGTCTGAATATTTTATTTGAACCATTGCTGCAGGACGATTTGGACAAATGAAACGAACAGCAAGTCCTAAAACGAA